TAAAACTAGTCAAAATAGAAAACGAACAAATTAAAAAAGAAAATAGGTACTATACTATCCAAAGCGATAAGTGAAATTGGACAAAAAATTGACCTTCTCGAACAACAAAATCTTGGGGCCAGTATTGAAATAATAGGCATACCAAAAACTGAAAACGAGAACTGCATAAGTATAGTCAAAGAAATAGGAAAAAAAATGAATATCGACATTCTCGTCATAGAAGCTAGAAGAATTACTGTAGAAAAGAACAGAATAAAACAAATTTAATTGTTGCTAAGCTAGAATCAAACCAAAAAAGGTGCTCTGCTGTACAGTAGGTTACAAGTGGGTCGCTGTATAATGGATGGTATTAAATTTGAATTCAATGGTATAATATCATTGTATAAGAAAAACGATTCTGAGCGGAGACGGTATGTCAGTCTAGATTTAAGACATATTATATTCATATCTATATTGGTATTAAAAAAAAAATTGACTTATAATAAATTCCATATTAATCATATCACAATATCCATTAGGTACATATAAAGAGTTATACATCAACAAGAAACTGTGATACTATCATAGATATATAACAGTTCACTTTAAAAGTTTCTAATACCGGCGATTAATATTATACAATCACAACAAAATAACTAAAATAGTTATTTTAGGTTTTTTAATATGTAATTTCGTCCAAATTTGAACTTAAATTGACTATAAAAATAAACTGTGCTTGTGTATTTTTCAGATTTTTTGGTAACAGAATTATCTACTTACGTGGAATCTTATTTTAAATTTTCAATCCTTAGATATAAAAGTTGAATATTTTATAAATTTTTAACTACAAAATAATTATTTGATTTTAAATTTGATACATTTTGTCAAAATTCGATCTTTAAATGCTTATAAAAAAGAATTGTGCCAATGTATTTTTTATATTTTTCAATTGCTATTGTAACAATATATCGGGAGCCTTGTATTAAATTTTTACACTTTTTGGCCCAACAGATAAAACTTTATTGATATTTATAGAAAAAACTATAAAAATTAAAAACTGAAAATGTCCGTAAACAGCTCAAAAAGAGTCAAAATATTTTCGGAATTGTAGGGTGTATAGGAAATGCTAATATAAACATTCAGTGAAATTTTCATGTATCTACAGTTATTCGTTTTTGAATTACAACAAAATAAAGAAATCGCTACATGAGAAATCGAGTGAATATCCAATGTTGTAAAATTATTGGTGCATCCGAATTGCATTCCAAAAAAATAAATATAAATTGGAATGTCCAAATTGCATGCCGTCTTTTGGAGGGGTCTGTCCGAATTGCATGCCATCTCTTAGAGGAGTATGTCCGAATAAAATGACTAAATAACTTGATTTTCCACTGGAGGAACGGGATTTTGTTACATTACAATAAAATATATAAATATTGTTGAAGGTGACACTGTGAATAATAAATATTAAATAAAACTATTTTTCATCAACAACAAAGGCCATTAGTTAAATAAAACTATTGTAGTTTAGGGTAATCAAGTGAGTGTATTTTACATGTTTACATAGTATTTCAAATAAATAATATTGTTTTAAAATTTGGTGGGTTTTTTTGACATTTCAAGCACACAATATTACACGTTAGATGTACAATATAAATAATAATATTTCATAATAATAAAATATGTCAATATGGAAAATGTATATTAATAATACTAATACCAGAAACATATTTTTTTGAATAATTAAATAGTAATAGCATTTTATAAAACGGTTAATATTAAAGGGGAAATAGTTTAAAATTTTTCAGGGGAATAATTACAATGAAAAATTACGTTACAATATAATAATAAAAATAATAAATTAAAAAAACAATAATAATAATAGTAGGTAATAATACTATAATAACTTATAAATTATAAAAGCTTATGAATTTGACAGCTACAAACACTTAAGTGACCGATACGCATATATGTCTATGTCTGTGAAACAGACTACAATACACTACATATAGAACGAATTAAACACAATAGATGAGGTGTAGTGTATTCTGGTGTTCAATAGAATGTCCATGTTTCTCTTCTGTTCTGAAAATATTTTATGGTTTATGAATATCAATTATAAAAATATTATAAACTTTAAAGTATTTTATACTTACTTTTGGTTTTATAGCAAAAGCAAAATCGTCAAATTTCACACAACCAGTAATGTCCAATTTGTATGTTTCAGATCTCTGTAGATTATATGGTGAAAATAATATCTTAAGTAGGTAGGCAGGTAGCTGAATGCTTCAACGACATCTAGTGTAAAAACGTCTGGTAGACATCATGCCATCAACACATCCTTTATATCTGTAATTAGTTATATAATACATTATACTACAGTAATACATGAGACTAAATTATTAAACAATTTATGTTAAGAGGACACTACCCATGCATTTGTTGTCTCCGTCTTACATAAACACGACATATCAAATTTCCGTTCACTAATTTCAATAGTGTGTTGTTAGTTTTAATATTGGGTGAATTGATCTATTATCATACTTTTAGTTAAGAATATTATCTGTGCTTAAGGCCTCGGCGTTTTTTCAATATTTTCATTTTCAAGTAAGATATGTGTATGTGAAATATTAAAAATGCTCATATCTCGCTTGAAAATGAAAATATCAAATAAAAGCCAACGCTTAAGCACGGATAATGTTATTATCTAAAAATGTTATAATAGCTCAATTCACTTTAATATCAAAAATAACAACATACTATTGAAACTAGTGAACGAAAATTTGTTATGTCGTAAGTGTGTGTGTAGTAAGTGATCATTAGTATGAGTGACTGTGTATAAAATAAATAGCAAAGCGCATCCGCACGTGCTCTCACACATTAGTAACTCGGCTTTACACAGACTAATTACAAATGTGAATTTTAGTGAAACACTGAAACTTAGTTTTGTATTTCCAATAATGTAGCTTACTGAGTGACATTACAGCATGAACACCTATTATACAAATCAAGGGGAAGAAGTTTATCTAGGCTTGTATGGAAGTTGATTTTTGATATTTTGTTTTCAATGTCCAATATTTAGCTCTAAAACTAGTGATATTTCACTTTTTGAATTTGAATTAGGTATTGAGTTTAGTAATTACAAATATCAAAAATTGACTTATATACAGGCACAGATTAACTTCTCTTCTAAAATATTCATAATAGGCGTTTTTACTCTCAAACCTCTCAATAAACCATATTATTCGAAATACAAAAATCAATTTTCATACCATTTTTCCATGGTATTCATAACCCTTAATTGAAAATTAATTTATATTTTACAATACTTTTTACATTTGCTTATTAAAACATAGTTGCGATCGGCAATTCTGGCCAGTGGTGGCTATGAAGTATGGCCTTTATGTCTAAATAACTATTGTATGAAATATGTATGAGTATTGAATGTCATAAACTGTACAATAATATTTAGTTTCTTATCCTAGCCACCAGAGATAAGCTACTTCGATTGAAATTGCTAATATTGTCATTGATTTAAACATTTGAGTTGTTTGCCTGGCTGTTAATACTTAGCTCATACTTAAAACAAAAATATATTCTTTCAAACAGATTAAAGACTTAGTCTACAGATCTATTGACTTATATTGTATTTATTATAATATTAAAATATCAATTTTCGTTTGTTAAAAATATGCAATAATCGACAATAGAAATATGATATTATATACAGTGACTAATAAAGTAACTTATACCCACATAAACATTTTAAAACAACAACTAAGAGATTAATGTCATATTATTTTCTAAGAAGAGCAACAATTTACAAACTATAGGTTATTGAGTTTGCCTTACTTAATGTTTGTTACCAGCAACCATAAGGAAAGGTAGATAGAGCACGTAGCAGCAGTCCATGACTTTATATGTCAATGTTTAAAATAAAACTTTCATTTGTATTTGATCTCTATACCATTTATTGCAGTTGGAAAATTGATTGAAAGCATGCATTTCAAATGCTTTTATCTCAAATTGTTCACAGTATTAAAATTTCCAATGCCCTATTTGGCTTTCAACCTATAAAGTTAAAAATAGGTATAGTTAAAAACAAAGTTTTAATCAGAAAATCTAAAAAAATTGCATTTTAAATCAAAATTATTCCCTTAATTTTGAGTATTAAATATTCATATAATTTTAAATGTTTAAAATATTAAGCATTGTATGTTGGGCAATAGTTCAAATGTTAATTAATTGATACTTAATATACCTAACCTACAACTTGTTAGAATAGGTAAACATAAAATTGTTTGTAAGGGGATAGCACTGTTTGTATGTGGGTTTTATAGGATTGTTCAGTTTTTAAGTGCTTTATGAGCATTTTTAATTCATGCTATATTATATATTAAACGCATTTTGCAAAAAAACTATTGAACAATAATAAAAACCCACATACAAGCACAGATAATATTCTTACCATCATAATAGTTTGATTCATTCTTAATTTTTAAGCTAACAGAGCTGAATGTGAACTGCTGAGTGTAAATTTGCTATGTTACGTACTTCTCAGACAGAGACAAGAAATAGCTTTGAAGGGTTTTCTTAAGTTTAAATTTGTATATATTATAAGTCATCTTTAAACAAAAATTTATCATAACTGTAATAATAATAGAAGTATGATAATATTTATACTTTTAAAATAAATATTTTTTTAAGTCTAATGCATGAAAAACCTAAGTATGATTGAGAGCAAAGTTTTAAAAAAATAAAATAAATTGTTATAGTTAATATTATAAGCAGGGCCGGCGCAAGCAATTTTTTATATGTAGGCAAAGATCAAAATTGCCGCCTCTTATTTTATTATAACTTACATAGATAAATGTCATATTATGTAGGAGCAAAAAAATTAAAAACTTTTTACACTTGTCAATTATTATATAATAAAAAAGAAATTACTAAATTAATAGTACATGGATTGTTTGTAAGGTATTACAATAGTTATTATGAAATACAATATTTAGTTATAATTTTTAAAAATGTATTTTTCTTGCTTTTGCTGACGCAAAATCTTTAACTAAATCGTCAATGTCAAGATCATTCGCAATTTGATTTTCAATTGAAATTGTTGCCAATCCAACTAAACGATCCTGTGAAATTTGTGATCTTAAGTAGTTCTTTACAATTTTTAATTTTGAAAAGCTTCTTTCAGCTGAAGCTGCAGTTACTGGTAATGTTAATAAAATTCTTAGAGCTACGTATACATTAGGAAATAATTCTATTAATTTGTTTTCACATATAAATTGTAAAATTGCTTTTGGATCATTTTCATTTTGCAAATGTTTTTGTAATGTATTTATTTCTTCACAAAGTTCGACAGAATTTATATCAGAATTTAAACCGTCATTTGAAGAAAGTGCTAGCTGAAGATCTTTACAGCACTTCATTAAATGTTCATAATTATTTACATTAGAAATATTATAAAGAAATGAAAATAATTTACTATGGTCTTCAAGTTGAATAAATCGGTCATTTATTGATTGGAGCATATTGTCTAATATTTGATGAAAAAAATTTATTTTGAAATTCTGTTTAGGATCTGTTATAGGAGTATCACGAGATTCGTAATCAAAATGAGTTTTTCTACGTCGAGTTCGAAATTGATTTAACGAAAAACTATCTTGTACACCAAGTTCATTTGCTAAGTAACTTGCTTGTGTAAGTATTTTTTCAAAATTTTCATCACTACGATATTTTTGTAAAAATATTTTGGTATTGTTTATCTGATTGATTGATTCGATAATATTTAATGATATAGATTGTAATAGTTTACTAGTGACATTAATTTCGCATAATAAATCATACCAAATTACTAAACTACATAAAAATTTGAAACTTATTAATTTTTCAGCTATACCTTTAGCTTCAGAACGACTTCGAACGCCAGTTACACTCGTAAGTGAAGTGTCTTCTGATATTTCTTCCAGTGCATCATAAATTTCAGCAGTTTGAAATCGAATTGGTCGAATAGCGTCTATTCTACTAGACCATCGAGTTGCACTTAATGGTTTTACAGTAAGATTTTTAACATATTTACGAAAAACATCCCATCTCTGTGTTGATGCTGAAAAAAATGTATACATTTCTTGTATAATATCAAAAAATAAAACTGCATCTAAGCAACAATTTGCTGAATCGTTCAAAACCAAATTTAAAGAATGTGCATTGCATGGCACGTAAAAAGCTCTTGAATTTAGATTTCGAATTCTAGCTTGAACACCACTTTTATATCCACGCATATTAGCCCCATTGTCGTATCCTTGGCCTCTCATGTCATCTAATGAAATATCTAATTCTCTCAGTTTTTGAAGAATAACTTCAGTCATATTTAAGCCAGTAGTATTGTATAATTCTATAAAACCGATAAAGTGTTCATTTATAGAAACGTGTTCTATTTTACTTGTGGTTTCGTTTTCAGTAGTTGAGACGAATCTAACTATGACAGTCATTTGTTCTGTATGATTTATATCTGGTGTACAGTCTAAAATGATTGAATAATATTTTGCATTTTTTAATGCAGTTATGATGCGAGATCTTATTTTATTCGTCAATAATTGAATTATTTCATTTTGGATGTCTTTTCCTAAGTAATGACAATGAATTTCTTGAGATGATATTCTTCTTATGTGTTCTTTCATTACTGGATCAAATTTACTTAAAAATTCAATAAATTTTAAGAAGTTACCATTATTGGAAGTATTAAGTTTATCTGATTTTCCCCGAAAAGCCAAATTTTGACTGCTAAGTGTTTTTATCAATTCTATAATTCGCTTAAGTACATTTTTCCAATGTTCTGTCTCAATTTTTAAATTAGCTTCATTGATATTATTGATAGTTTTTCCACGTTTACACCTTGTTTCTAATTCTTTCCAATTTTGATATGCCTTTTTATGAGAATTTGACGTCTCGTGTCTGTTCAATATATTTGATATATTTTTCCAATCATTATTACCATTGGTTGTAAGAGATACTACTCCAATATTAAACAATTTGCAGCAAAAACAAAACACAGAATCACTTGATTTAGAATAAATTATCCTTATCATTAATAACATTTGCTTGACTATTTTGTTGACAAAATTTCAGTAAACTACCTTTTTGTTTAACTAAATCTTTCTCCCATGCTAGTCTTTTCTTTAAATATTGCGAACCTGATAATCGTTTACGCTTTTTTATGTCATCAGCCATAATATCTGAATAAATAAGATAATAATTAATTAATATTATTTTATTTTTTAATTATTTAACATAAACTCCATACAACAACGGACAAGAAAAACTAATTATATAACAGTATTACATAGTTAATTAACCACTAGTTAACAAAAATTCTATTATTTGGTCTTTTTGCATTTTTAAAATAATTACAAATACAATAAATATCAGATAGAAGATGTTATGCCTGTAGTAAACGTGTTCTAATTTATTAAATAAATAAAAATACATTCAATTATGAAGAAGACTAAGAACGACGCGCGATACGGCAATATTATTTACTGTCGTGAACTCAGTTTCAATAGCGTCTATAATACGCAGCTTATTCTCCCTGGCCTCCTCCGGCCATCCGTCAAACCATAACCTAACCATTTTACATAATATTATGATTGAACTGTCGGGCGGCAGTTTCACTATAACGGCGACCGTATACTATTGAATAATTTACGCGCTATAGGTACCAATAATGATTAACAGTAAATTAAAAATATATTATATTTATATTACTTACCTATTGTGTAATGAAGTCTTGATAGATGTATATCGTATATGTCTTGATTTATAAAAAAATTATATTGTTGAGCTCAATAAAGAATGTACCTACACTAGTACACTACACTGTACAGTGAGAGTGAATGACACACAACAGTCTCCAATTGCAAAAACGCTAATAGAATTATTATCGATTAAATTGTAATGGCACAACATGCTTTGAGACGTTATCGCAATTCAGGGAAAAATTATCTGTATTATTTTTATTGAATATTGTTTTGGAGTTTTATCGATCTACACAATATGTTTGTATATTGTATTTTGAAATTTGTTAAAATCTAAAATAAACGTGAAAAATAAGATATTTGATTTTTTCTTATATGCCGCCTCTATATAGTTATAAATTTTGCCGCCGTAGGCTTGTGCCTACGTCGCCTACGCCTATAACCGGCCCTGATTATAAGCCAGTTCTTACTGTAAAAACATCATTAAGAGTCAGTCTCCTTCCAATATTTTCTGATCCACAGTTCTTATAAAATGTTGTCTTTTTGATTGCATGTTTTGAAAAACGTTTACAAGAACAATACTTGTTAACAATATTGAAACAATAATTTGAATCATCTAAAACATGAGAAAATATAGATTGTATATAAAGACCTGAAATTCCCTTGATTATTCTTAATTTTATAAAGAAAAATGTATGAGAAATTAAGTACAGTCAAAAATATACAATAGCATCAAATCTAATAGTCTTTTGATGCCCACATTTTCGTCTCTTTGTTACATACATTTATAATATATAAATACTTTCATTAAATAACATTTACATTTATATAAAATAAAAATACCTACCTCAGGATATTAATTTTTTATTGATATTGATCAAATCTATACTAAATATCCAACATAATATTATATTATTTGCAATCAACATCATAAAACAACTAATTCAATACAATATTGCATTTTCAACCAATAAGTTAAGAGAGATTATGATTCATAATTTTGTATGTTTACCCATACTAGTTAATTACTTGTTATATTCATTTTAGTCTTGGCCCTAATACGTAGGTTCCAATATTCCATTTTATTTTATTTTAATATTTCATAGAACTTATTTAATATTTGATTTTTATCAAATAGTATCAAACTAAATCAGTTATATCTGCTAGCCTATTAACTTAAATTAAATATATTTTATGTTCTTGAAATTTTTCATTAACAATAAATTAAAAATGCACCTTTTACTAATATTAAATATCATTTTTAAGGTGCCTATGATTTATAACTACTATTAGTGTATGACTGTATTAACGTATGACTTTCATACTATCTACATTATTTTTAAATTTGGTATTAATTTCATTAATAGAAAATGATAGAAAATGATTTTTGATATTACGTTTGTAAAATTTAATGGGACTAAAAAGACTTATTCTGAGAAAATGTATCATTCCACATAAATTTAACTGTCATTCAGATCAAAAACGGTCTTCTACTGTCCTAAATCGTCTATTATTTTTAAAAAATTAAATAAAATTAGAAATGGAAAATTCAGTTACACCAAATATTTTAAATAAAAATAAACTTTTATACTTAATTTTCAATTTATTATTTTGGATATGAATTAGAAACTTTTACAATAATGTATTGTTAATCATATGACGTTAATATGTCTAATTAGCTGTTTATTGATGGTCAATAAATACAGTTAGTTCAACACAAGTTCACACGAAACACAATCCAAAGTATTGTTATGTTGGTCTACCGATCAAAATAAAAAAGGAGGTAAGTAGTCGCTTTACTGTACAGTAGGTTACAAGTCTATGACTGTAATGGATGGTGATAAATTTGAATTCAATGTAATTATATCATTGTATACAAAAAATAAGTTTGAGCAGAGACAGTTTGTCAACCTATAATATTTTCTATTAAAATTATTATTTATATTGGTGTTATAATACAGTAGCCAGTTAAGTTGAATTTATTATTTGTTTATTATCATATTTGTATATAATAATATACTTCAGAAGTTTCAAGTACCCACAAATAATATTTTTAAAATATAACACTTGTACCAACATATTTTTTGTGTAGGTACATGCTGACAAGAATTTTACTGACCTGTCTTTTCATACACAAGGCTTTTGTGTCTATTTTCTCCAGAATCCACAAAACTGTAGATTTTGTGGGTCTGTACGTCGGTAAACCGCGGTCGTCCAGATTGTCCGTATCCATGAAAAGCGACGGACAGCGAAAATGAGGATATCGTCTTCGTTATTGTCGTCTTCATAACATAGTTGAAGAACACAGTCACTAACTCTGTGCATTTTGTGTGGTTAATAGTTTATTCAAATTGTATTCCAGTGAAACTGACAAAACAGTAAAAAAAAAAACGCAATCATTTAGCAGATGTCACAGACTAAGATAAACTCTATCTCAGTCCGGGGCAGATGTAAATACGCTTGTTGATAATATTATCAATACTCCTGACCACGGTCTTAATAGAAGATAATATCTTAACGTAGCGCTACCCGTTACCTGTTTTCACACACGCGAAACCTCGTGACCAACGTTGTCTGACTCGTTTTTGTTAACGCTTATGTTCCATCGCAGTATCGCACCAACTGTATTATTTGACTTGTATTAGCTATCTTGTAATAATAAACCGAAAAATCATCCACCCAACTGCTTTGTTGTTCATTGGTAAAATTAGTCACGTTTACGTGATCTGTTGGAGTCAGCCGGCACCATTACATATTATGTCAATGGCCGGCACCAACCGCGCCGACATCAGCTCCACAACACCATAGATAATAGAATCTATGCCTGACACTAACCGCGGTAACAACGCTTAACCAGGTTATTACCTCACCTGGTGAAGTCCCAAATCTCCGGTTATCGATGTGTTTATCAATTGCGATTCGTGATTAATGTGAGTAATCCGCGGTCCGCGATTAACAGTGTTTGTGAAATTTACATTCGCGGGTTTTAAATATAGTATATAATATAATATATAATAATATACAATATTGTATAATATTATAGTCGCAACCAAAACATGGATGTATTAAGAGATATTCAAAAAAGAATCGCTGAAATTCAAACACTATATCCCGATCACATGAACTGCGGCCTACCTTTGGAATTTGCTCCACGATTAGAGAAATTAAAAGAACTGGCTGAACGATGTGGATCTGAAAAACAAAACAATCATTACACTTCGTGTCCGTGGTCGGATATCGAAAGTAAATGCGGGCCAGATACATGCCAATGTGTGATGGTACGTTTTTATCATTATCAATTAAAAGGAATGATCGATGCGGTCGTCAAAGAACATGGTCCGGACAACGATGGAGGAGAAACAAATGCCGGAGGGAAACAACAATAGTCATGCTCATGCATTATGTATTTTGTGTGAGCACAACAAAAAAACATTCATCGGAAAATATAATAATAATATAAAATTAATCATGGTATTATAAAAATTAGTAGCAAGACCTTATCATCATTATTGTAATGTTTTTTTTTACTTTTATTATATATTTTTATGCTTATTATGTGCATTGTATTTTATTATATCATATAAACTGCATTTAAATAACACAAAATATTAAGATCATAATTAACACAACGATAATACAAATTATATAATAAATAAATAACACATAAGTATACAACACAAATCCTCTAATACGTCAATATTTGATTAGGTCTTACCATAGAGTAATACTCTATGGGTCTTACCGTCTTGAAGACGTGCCCAGAGCCCTGCTTTTACAATAGGTACCCATTGCTGTTTTTGGTTTTCTTTTTATCACTATCATAATGTCGTATTCCGGTGTGCAACTCTACGGCCAATCATCAACAAGTATGGCTGCTGCGATTGATTATATGATTATATTTTATACACACAATGACATTTTCAAATGTATTTTTTCTTCGGCACACACTTGTACTAGCCAATGCTAATAGTAAAATAAACTACTATAATAGCAATAGGTACAATAAAATCATAAAATATACTAGGTAATACAGGCTGACCTCTGAATAGTTTTTACTTTTTTATATGTAGGTACCTACTTAATGATTTATCACAAATATAATTTTTTAGTAACTCAGACCCAATATGGACTTTTTTATAATACATAATTTTTTTTAATTCAATTCAATTTCAAATTAAATAACAAATAACAAATAATGCATTCATTTGAACAATATATAATCAACATTAAAATAGTTCCGGTAAATTTCATACTAATCTCTACCAAAAAAAAAAAAAATCCAAATTGACTTGTAAGTACTGAATCAAATTCTGACAAAGAATTTATTGTATCATGATTCATACGTTATTTCAATTTTTGAATTATATTGTTTGATTGGATAATTTAGATACCTGAAATAATTCAGTTAGTTCTAACAACATAACTCATACCTATTTTAATAATATTAAAGAATTAATATTTATGTATACATACTTAGTACCTACTTGTATAATATGCTATCTATCATAAATATTCTATCTACTGTCAGACCAATGAGAATGGTTTATCTTATGTGTAGAGCTGGAACCATAGTGAATACTTCGTTAATATGCTACCGGGTGACTGATCTTAGTGTTTAGTTTCTTAAAAATTATATATTAGATTCTAAGGGGAACGATCTAAAATCGATATAGTTTCATAGGTGTAACTCAACAAACCATAACATTTTAACCCATTTTTTTTGTCTTTTTCTTTAAATGTAGTAATCAATATTTTCATATGTTAAAAAGTTTGAAAATGTAATACGACCTTCTTCATAAGTTTTTAATGTACCATTTGAAAAATATCAAAAATACATAGTCACAATATATTGTATAAGCGTTTTAAGTTAGAATCTAATAAAATTCATCAACATCGCGAACCTTTGAAATTTATTTGGTAATTAGATTCATAAAAATTTTTTTCTTTATATCTGAGGTTTAAAAATCTAATACTAGATTACAAAAAATGTTTATCGGAAAGTCATAATCACTTTTTATGAGCGTTTGAATTTAAAATTTGTATGACATTGGATATTCACTCATAAACAAATTCTCTGTGATTGAAAAACAAATACAGTATAGCATAGCCAGGGTTGCTACTAATTTTTTTCTTAAAAAAAGTGAGAATAGTGAGTATTTTTTCAATTAAGTGAGTAATATTCTAGTAAAAAGTGAGTATTATTTTCATATTATAGGTGAGTTTTTTTAAACAAAAACATAAAAATAAAATACAATAGTTTAAAATATTTTCAGTTGTTTTTTACTTTTTTAGTTTATTATAAACAAGTTATAAATTATACTTATAAAACAATTTTGTTTAAATATTAATAATAATTGGTTCTACCTACAGTACCTAAATTATATAACATAAATAAAATGTAGGTATCCAACAAATATAACAACTGTAGAAACTGATATTATAGTATTATGTATATTAATTTTTTGAATGATATTATAATATAGTATAATATAATATAATATACGTATTTGTAATTAAATATTAATAATGTGGTAATTATAGATACTAATTAGTGTTTAAAAAATATTTGTTCAACCATTTTCATGAAGTTATGAGTAATATTGTAGTCTGGGGATTTTTATTTTTAAAAATAGTCTTAAAACATAAATAATTATAAAAATTTCGAATATTTAATTTAAACACTTATTTACATTTATGGATCTTTAAAAAAGTGAAAAAAGTGAGGAATCAATGAAATAAGTGCGAAAAAGTGAGCACACTCAAATAAAGTGAGAATAGTGAGAAATAGTGAGTGCGTAGCAACCCTGCATAGCATAAAACCTATATCTTACTTTTTTGGTTTGAGAAATGTTAAACAATAATACCTATTGCTATTTGTAATTGTAAGACATCAATACATCATGTTAAACATTTAAATCAGAAATAAAAATGTAGTCAATAGCATATTAATAATTAATAATAAGGTTAGTTTTACCTTGAATAATTTTCCTTATATTATTATAAGCAAAAATTAATCAAATCCAAAACTTGTCTATATTGTCCCATCTTACAAACGTACAACATCTCAACATAGTAAATTTTTGTTCAGCAGATACAATTTTATGTTTTCAGCTTTCATTATAACTGTTCTACTTCAAACTAGAATTAACTGAATTGTTATCAAACTTGATAATTATCTATAATATATCATAGGCTCTTATTAATATTTAAATTGTAAATAGTTATGAGTATATTAAAAATGTTAATAATTTACATTTTACATAGTTTTAAGTTATAACTCACTTAAAATTAAAATATAAATTAAATCCTATATTTTTAGTTTGATAATAAGTAAATTAATTCTAATATTCTATATTAAAGCTAACAACACTTTATGCAGGTTTGATTTCCTAAGAGGACAACAATAGCATTTCAAATATTGTGGAAAGAAAAAAGTATTTATTGGAAAGTTAGCTCACTAATATTATTCAGTTTTAATATAAATTAACTAAGTAATTAATTTTTTTTCAAAATGTTTTAATTTAATAATATTCAATATTATGTTACTTAAATGTATTATATTAAATAAATGTATAATATTTATGTGTATTTATTTAGATATGTTCGTTCTTTTGTATAATTATCCTGGAAAGATTTTTATGGAAGGAATAATTATTAGTCTTCAATACTATTATAGTATTATTACATACATAGTTTATTTTACAGCAAATGTATTATCATTTAATATAACTATCAATTGCTTTTAATGCGCACAGCATTATGGTTATATCATTTTATTTAATAAAAACTAAAAGAAATATATTGTTCAGCTTAGTATTATTAATAACTATTGAATAATTTTTATAAATATAAATCTATTACATTTTTAAATGCTATATAATATATTTTTAATTTTATCCATATAATATGTAATTTTTTTATAGATTAGTGACTAGACATTGGATTAATGACTATAGTAATATACACATTAATTTTTGTACTTCGTCCTTTCATAAAATACAACTTAAAAATTAATCTCCAAGATGATGTTAGAAAAACGTATCAATTTAAGATAAATTGATAACTCTTTATGTTATAATTGAAGTTGTTGTAATCATTCTTTTAAAATAGCCATAGAATATTAAATAGAATTTGCCAAATCAACAAAATATAGTACAATATTGACAATACATATTTTGTAAAAGTACCAACTACAATCCACAATAAATCCAGAAGCACCCAGAATGGGTTAGACAAATATACCATAATTGCATACTATTTCTTTTTTCTGATAAGATCTCAACACAATTGCTCACCAACTAATATAGGTATTATGTAAACATTACATAATATACATTATAATACATTCATCATATTATTATGTATTATATAAACAATAAAAATATTATTAATTTTAAAAATTATTATTTTTGTTGGCTTGGTTAAAAATTGTTTGCTTAAACTTTTCTATTTTATTTAAATTGAGTAATTGCTAATGGCTAATAGTACTTACTATTCATTAAAATCTGTAACATTGTTAATAATAAATTATGGAAGGTATGTCAATCAGTGAACTTTTACTCATTTTCTATAATTTCTTACAGCCTACAAAATTGATGTATAGTGTCAAATATTTACAACCAATTTAAAGAAATATATTTTTTTCTAGTTAAAAATGCAAGTACCTTACTCACATTAAACTGAACCTATATGTTGTACAAAACCAACCTCATACAAACACAGATGTTCTTATCTTTAATATATTAAACATTTGTCACAATAAAATTAAAGTAATTGTTATTCAGCTGACGACTAACAAGGCAACATTCTAGTAGAAGTATAAACTAATAAATAAAAACCAAAGACAAAATTATTATGAACACAAAACTCATTTAATTATAAACTTTGTTAAAATTTTACAAATATCTAAAAAATTACTGAATGTTATGATTTACTTAAAAAAATGTTATTAGATTTATATAATCTCTAATATCATTAAACTATGGCAATTTATGTTTGTAAAGCAAGGGAAAACAATTTTACTATTTATTGGTTGGTAAGGTCAGGTAATAATTTTATCTCAATACAGCTCCTGTCTCCATGTACATATTTCAGATAATCTAATTGTTCCGAACTAGTGGCACCTCTGATGTAATATTAACGACAAAGTCAGACGTTTTTGTACACGTATACCACGCAGTCCAAATGCCCTAGCCTTGGCACACATACTTCTATCCCACAGCTAGTTGTACCATCGGATGGAATCACACGTGCCAAGGCTATGGCAATTGGAACATCTAGACTGCATGGAATACGTATACAAAAACGGTTGATCTCGGAGTACAGATGTTACAGGATCGGGGTAATTATATTTCTGAAGTCCGCACACGAATAAGGATTTGCATAG